TTTCTGTTCTTGTGTTTATTAAACCTGACTAATCCGTGAACTGAAAGAATCTTGGGTTCTGATTAGTACAACTCGTTTGTGGCTTCATTTTAGAAATAATCTACTTTTTTCCAGGCCCCTGTGATGACTATGGATAGATATGCTGCTTCGGAAAGCTTCTACAAACTTGCTATGGCCTTTGCCCCTGTGCCTGATCTTCACATAATGTGGTTACTGCATCTATGTGATGCACATCAGGAAATGCAGTCTTGGGCTGAAGCTGCTCAGTGTGCTGTAGCTGTTGCTGGTGTTGTAATGCAGGTAAACACTTGTTTATTATTGCATACATGTTGCAGCATTAAAATTTTTGGAGGCAGCATAAAATAGTGTTGCAATATTTCAGTGTTTTTTTTAGGGCTCAGGTATATTCTATGTCAATGTGCTTTTCCAACATAAAAGATCATATGTTTTTGGCTGATGATTAATTTTTAAGGTTCAAGTCATTCTTCTTTGTGTATGTTCTTTTTTCCCCTTAAGTGGTTGTTAGCTGATGGTTCCAACAATTAATATTAAACTCTTAGAGAATTTGAAGGTTCTACATGCCTCTTTCTATATCTCTATTTCTTAAAGCTTGCAGAAATGTTATTTTAGTCACAGCTATCAGCCAAGTGGCAAGCAGTACGTTTCAGTATGGCCTGCTAACTAAAAGAACTTTTGTTTAACTCTGCTTTTCCAAGTCAATGGATATCTATCTTTCCTATTATATGATTGTATATTTATCTAGTACTACAAGCCTTTTTCGGTTATTTGCTGATCAAATTTCATGCAGGCCCTTGTTGCCAGAAATGATGGTGTTTGGAGCAAAGACCATGTGGCTGCTTTACGGAAAATATGTCCCATGGTTAGCAGTGAAATCACTTCTGAGGCGTCTGCTGCTGAGGTAGAGGGCTATGGTGCTTCAAAACTGACTGTTGACTCTGCAGTAAAGTACCTGCAGCTTGCTAACAAGCTTTTCTCACAAGCTGAGCTTTTTCACTTTTGCGCAAGCATTCTGGAACTTGTAATCCCGGTTTACAAAAGCAGGAGAGCTTATGGACAGCTTGCTAAATGTCACACAATGCTTACCAATATCTATGAGTCAATACTTGAACAGGAATCTAGTCCAATTCCTTTCACTGATGCAACATACTATAGGGTTGGATTCTATGGAGATAGGTTTGGAAAACTTGACAAAAATGAGTATGTGTATCGTGAGCCACGGGATGTGCGACTAGGTGACATAATGGAGAAACTTAGTCACATATACGAGACTAGAATGGATGGCAATCACACTTTGCACATTATTCCAGATTCTAGACAGGTGAAGGCAGAAGAATTACAGCCAGGAGTCTGCTACCTGCAGATTACTGCAGTTGATCCAGTCATGGAAGATGAGGATTTGGGAAGCAGGAGGGAGAGAATCTTTTCTCTTTCTACTGGAAGTGTCCGGGCACGAGTATTTGACCGCTTCTTGTTTGATACCCCATTCACAAAAAATGGCAAGACTCAAGGTGGATTAGAAGACCAGTGGAAGAGACGCACTGTCCTTCAGACCGAGGGATCTTTCCCTGCTTTGGTAAATAGGTTAGTGGTAATCAAATCTGAATCTCTAGAGTTTTCCCCAGTAGAGAATGCAATTGGAATGATTGAAACAAGGACAGCGGCATTAAGAAATGAACTCGAAGAACCTCGGAGTTCTGAAGGGGATCAACTCCCACGACTTCAAAGTCTGCAGAGAATCCTTCAAGGCAGTGTTGCAGTACAAGTACGTTGCAGCATTAATTCTTATTCTTTTCTAGGAGTAACTTAGGCGCTCACGTTTACAATTCCAAGATCAAATTGTTAGTTTGCTATAAACATGTACATTGATACTCAAGTTTTAATCCTGCTATGACTTCGCACACGGCTGACTGATGCTGCATATGTGCAGGTGAACAGTGGAGTCCTGAGTGTCTGCACGGCCTTCTTATCTGGTGAGCCTGCAACAAGGTTGCGATCCCAGGAACTGCAGCAACTCATTGCTGCCCTTCTCGAGTTCATGGCCGTGTGCAAGCGAGCTATCCGGGTACACTTCAGATTGATTGGGGAGGAAGATCAGGATTTCCACACGCAGCTCGTGAATGGATTCCAGTCCCTGACTGCAGAATTATCACATTACATCCCTGCCATCCTCTCAGAGCTTTGACAACCTCAACTGGGTGCATTATTGTTTTCTTCTTCTATCTTATAGCCTTGATTTCATAACGTGTTCATATCAATCTTATTGTTTCCTCTTTTGTCCCTCAATTCTTGTTGCTAATGTTTAATCCCCGCATCAGGGTTCGTATGTTTAGGAATATGCGAGCCACCCAATTCTGAAAAACCAATCATCTCATTTGTGTATGATGTCTTGGTTTTCTTACTCATTTGGTTTTGGGTGCGGGTTAATTTTCACATGTTCCTGTATAAAATATTATTTCAAGCGATTTAGCTATCTCTCATCTGGCTCGTATAGGTTCTCACGAGTCTTGAATCCACATCAATTGGAATACCATGAAGATATGGGTATCAAACCTAATATAATCTACCTAAATTTGTTAACTGGAAAATCTAAAAATTACTGAAAAAAACCTTTAAAATTAGAAATAGGGATAAGGTGTTTAAATATTTTGAAAGTATTAATAACGAAAGATTTTCTTTGGCTCTTATATGTTTTGAAAATTTATTTTCATAGAAAAAATGCACTGATTATTATTTATTGTTAAATTTGACTATTAAATTATGTGATTTGATCAGTGTTTTTAAAGGCTAAACTCAACAAAGAACTAATGGTTCAGGGTAAAAATGTTATGAAATAAAACTTTTATGACATATAAGAGGCCCAAAAAAAAAAAAATTCAGGTGCTGGGTGCTTTTATGTGCGTACTTTTGGATTCCGTTTAGTACAAAGTATTGAAAATAAATGATAAGGATTGAAATTGAGATTTAGAATTAAAGAGTGTTTGGTATGAGTATTGCTTGATATATGGGATTAAACAAATCTATGTATGTAGGATTGGAAAATATTGTGAGAGGAAGTAGTATTTCCCAATCCCATTTTTAAAGATTTACCTAATTCTATGTAACAAGTAATATTTCATGCTAGCCACTCTTTTAATAGATTTTCTAAATCCCAATTCTAATCTCTATCTTTTATTTTCAATACTCTGTATCAAATGGAACTTGGGGTATTTGAACACATTATTTTTTACAAATATAACAATTTGAAACAAAACATTTAGTAATCCTTACTTCAACAATGTAACGATATATTGAAATTACAGTCTTGTGGACGCTATATTAGTTATATTTTTAACCTCAAAATAGTTCCAAGTGTGTTTTTCTCTTTTTTGATAAGAAGGCCATGGCGAAAAACCGTGCAAAAGAGATGGGCAATGAGACTTCAAAATTTAAAATGTTCCTACCCATCAGAAATCTAAAATTAGTCCATATAAGGATTATATTAACACAGTCGAAGGCAACTATAAAATTCTAATTTCTTTAATCCTCTTCCAGCTCCTATCCATTAACACCCTTGTTTAATCAGATATTTCAACCTCGTAATTTTAACTGACCAATCAATCTTCAAGATACCGAGCTCAACCTCGAAGCAACACTCAGCCGAAACTGAACCAAAGTGACGAAGAACTAAGATTAATGTATTTTATTTTTATTTAAAACTTCACAGAAGGATTTGTTTGCCAATATTTTTCATATTTGCCCACAAAATTAGAACTTTTGCAGGACCTCTTAGCAATGGATTTTTATATTTACTCCTAAATGTCGATTTCTGCAGAAAAATAATTTATCTTAATGACCCATATTGTTAATAATTTTATTAATTAGATGCCACATGATGGTTATTAACCTTTAATTTACTTAATTAAGTTGTCGGATGTTACATAGATGGACTAATTATGTATTTATCATAGGATTTGATTTGATCTTAAATATGAAGTAAAATGTTTGTGAATGAATACATAACCCTAATTTTTCCTTAAAAATTTATTAGCATATAGGTCCCAAAAATTTATTATTATGCTGTGTCCCCTTATGCTTTTAATACAATTGCAAAATCCATATTTTATATGGTTTTATTATATTTTCGATTCTCAAAATTCACAATCATCCTTGTTGCATCTTTACTGCAATCCCCTTATTTTTTTTTTACTCGTAAGGCTTGTGAAGCCTAACACTAATAAGAATTTGACTATTTTGCTTCGTCATCTTCATGTATTTGCGTATGGATCTTGTTATTACCTATTTGTCATGTAACACCAATAAAATATTTGATTATTTTTAATGATACCTGCCTCTCCTGCCCTAGCCCCTACATTTCTAACAGCATAACCTTTGTTTCCACTGCTTTGGTTCTTAATTCAATTTTACATAAGTATCCTAATTGGATGTGGTGACTACTGTCCACATGGGAATCTTATTAGTTGCATTGACTCGCATCAAGAATCAAGTGATTATATTTCATTCAGGTTACTTTAGCATTCCCTATAAAGGATAATGATGTTTGGTTATTGTATGATCAATACAATCTCCGAAATGCATTGCAATTATGAGAATCACCCCTTCTGCATTCAGCTAAAACAGCCGTTATCCAGACATGTTACTGCGGCAGGAATTACCTCCATATTTATGATAAAGCCAGAGAGTGCTTTTCATTTGTCAAGAGTTTGATGGGCATATATGTAATTATGCATTTTGAATAAATTTGCCTAAATAGAGACTTAATTATTAGAATGAGTTCCCAATACTGACTACATGCCACATGTTTTTTCAAGTGAAAGACTTCGCCAATGGTACAAGGCGTTGAAAGATGTCTCACCTTGTGCTGTAAGTTACTACTTGGTCCCTTATTCAGCACTATAAGGTATTTTAGAGTCATGATATTATATACAGAAGATAATAGCAAGTAGTTTATCATTAAAAAACATCCTTAGCAAAATATATGATTGAAAATGTTCAGCTTAAAATTATTGTCTATAAAAGGACGCATTATGTTTATTAATTGAAGGACAGGTAATCCTGCATACAAAAACTAGCCACGACTATAAATTACTGTTCTACAGAAAGATCAAAACAATACGAAAGCTTCTCAGTGCAAGCAGGAGAGCTAATATTCCCACAATGAGTATAGGAAAATTCCAGTCATAATCTGTAAAAAGAAATAAATTTGCAGGTTCGTAGAAAGTGAAGTCTCATTCTCACAACTTGCTTTTTGGAACAGCAACTGGTTGAATTCTGGACCTCTTTTCTACTGCTCTGGAAACCTGCTTCACCGCCTCCTTGGGAAGATGACGAGGTCTGCTCAGCCATAGTCCTCCATCAACTATCAGAGTGGTACCATTGACAAATTTTCCTTCACGAATTTGAACGGATGTCAAGTTTTCATGAACATAGACATAGAAAGTAAGTAAGGAAATGCTATGATTTCGTGGACTAAGAAAAACAGATAAGGAAATGAGCGAATGAATGCCTAGAAGGCTAGAATAACAATACACACTGTTAATACTTCACTACTTTGTCAGTATAACAAGCCCCAGCGGTAACTTCAAGGGAAAGGAATTATATTTTATTTGTAAGTTCAGTTCCCTCAATAGGATCGACTGCATTAAACCGGACGAATGTGATATTACAAGTAACTTGAAGCCAAAGGAGAAGCGCTTCTAAACAAGCAAACATAGAAATTATCTTAGCTGGAAAAAGAATGCCAATCCCTGCATTGGATGAAAAGTTGAATGCCTTTCAGGTTAAGTAACAAATTTAATGAATCGCACCTGTTGAACATGGACTGAACTAAATGCTCTATATCTGACCATACGTTGCAACAATCCTTGATTATGTAGTCCAGCACTAGTCGGTTGTGAGAAAGAAGATGAAGAAAAATTATAACACTCCTAAATCTAAATACAAATGATGATTCTGGTTGATGTTTAAAAAAGATGTGGAATGCAAGAGCACAACATTTGATTCAAAAGGACTGCAATGAATACAGAGAACACATACCCCAACAAAAAACAAAAACATTTTTCCCCCATAAAGCAAAACATTAATAATTTTGAAACACTGATTTAAATACTTGGGAATATACAAACTTACCTGCATCTGACACAAGGTAGAGAGCAGCCATGGCAATATCCCATTTATCCCCGATTTTGAACAACGGCATGTGATCTCTGGTTTTGTTTTTTATTTCCTCAGGATCAAGTTTACTCATGCCAGGAGTGTCACCAATAGGACCGGGTGCAATCCCATTGACCCTAATATCATAGTCTGTTCCCCATTCTAGAGCTAAGTTTCTGGTAACAGCGTCAACAGCTGCCTATTGGAGAGGAAAATTTTGAAGTTCAATGCAAGTACATATGATGTTCAATATCTAGAAAACATGCTACAGACCTTAGCTGCAGAGACATGGATTTGATACCAAGAAGCTGTATAATGCAAGGTAGCACTAATGTTTAATATTGTTCCCCCACCAGAAGAGCTTCTTCCTTGTCCTCCTTTCTTGAGATATTTTAATGCTTCATGGCACATTGTAAATGTGCCGACAGAGTCAATATCCATAACTGCAACAAAATTTACATCTGATCACTACTTCCTGCGCCTTACTCTACTTGGTATATTTAAAAACTGGCTGCATCATCTACCTAAGCACTTTTTATATGGATTCCTTCTTTAAGCAATCATAGGTTTTCAATGATGTGAACCACATATTATGTCTAAAAGTAGTGTTTTATGTGAATTTTAAAGCTTGCTAAAGCATATTCTATCTTGGGGATTCCGTGAATCATGCATAATGGCAGGTTGTAAATATTCTTAAACTGTTTTATTTTCATGGATTTTCAGTACATTCAATGCAGCCTCTCCTTGTGGTAATATTCTCCAATAATCATAGTGATAGTGGAAAACAACGATAATTTCACATTGGTTCTTGATTGTATTGAAGTATCATGAAAATAAGTTTCAGTTTTCATTATGAAATGTGACCATATGGTAAGCTGACTTAAACGTATTAATGTCTTTAACGTTTCTCCAAGTGTATTTCTCTTAACGACAGAGACAACAGCGCCTATTACGCCTTCCGCATTGTCAAACTCAAGCTGACTTCATTATGAAATTTACCAGCAACTTCTAAAATTAATTTAGTAAGAGGAAGAAAAGAAAAGAAAAAAAGAAGACGGGAGATAGGAAATGGCTGAACATTTGGGACGGGAGGATGAGGGTCTTTTGTCTTCTGCTCATCCTCCTTTTTGTCATGATAGACAGAAACTTCTAAGACATCAAAGGGTAAACAACTGCATCTCAAAATCACTTCCAATGAATCGGACCACATACCATTTACAGAGCTTTAGAGAAGAAAAATAAAGGCCGTGAAACATAAGAAATACAGTACCTGTTTGGAATCCTTTAGGAGACAGATCCTCAGCTGCTACTAAAAAGTTTCCAGCTGCAGCATTCACAAGAATGTCGATCCTTCCAAAGTGGTTATAAGTTGACTCCACAACTCTTTTCGCATCTTCTTGCTTACGAACATCCCCCTCAAAACCAACAGCCTAAGTAAAACAAAAGGATCAATACAAGTGAAAAGTCATTGATGAGCTATTATTCTACGTATTATATTACTAATAAGCTACACACATTGGCAAAAATCAACAAAATGCAGAACAGTAATGAATACACCTAGAAATCAAGTTACACTACAGGTCCCCTTGTCCTAAATGAACATTCGCTCAGAGCTGGAAAAATCATACCCCTTGTCCTTAATGAACATTAGGTCAGAGCTGGAAAAATCATACCACATATATTATGAAGTTTTCAAAAACTTCGGAGCAGGAAATGTCAAACTTGCGGGTCCATAAACAAGAGGAATACGATCAGTTCAAGAATAAGAAAGTACAACGTCTAAGGCCAGTGATGGAAGACGAAAACAAATAGCATAAAAAGATAGATTACCGGAATTCCAAGTGAGCGGAGAGCAGAAACAGCAGAATCGAGAACTTGCTTGCGTCGACCCATGATGGCAACAGAAGCACCATGTTTGCCAAATTGAGCGGAAATTTCGAAGCCAATTCCGGAGCCGCCTCCTGTGAGAAGAGCAACCTTGCCTTTCAGTATATCGGGCTTGAACGTTGAGAGCGTGGCCATAGGTATCTCTGGTTGACCTTTCAGCTCGCTCTGATGAATACGTGTGGAAGCCAATGAAAGTGGACAGCGGCACTGAGGCAACACTAACTCCTTCCAAACACAAACACCAAAAGCTGCTCCGTTAATTTCAGAGACCATTCGTCATTTTCTTCCATCCCTGTCGTGTGGTGGCAGCCAACCAACCGTTTTCCACTTCTAAATTATTCCTACTTCGTGCTCAAATAACTCGTAAAACAACTTCTTAACAGTGATTCGTGGAATACGAGGGCCAGTTAGGGAATCTGAAAAAAATTCTTTTGGGCCCTACGTTTTGGTTTGGTCTAGATCTCATCCAAACATCCAAATTTTTCACAAATTCTGGGAGTGAAAAAATGGTCCTTAATAATTATGTCTCGTGAGAAGTTGCCCAACAATATTTGACAAAAATACCCATAAGAATTGAATCAAAAGCTTCCTCTCTTTTCTTTAGGAAAATTCTTCGGCTTCGCTCCTTCTCACAACAGTATTTGGCCCCCAAAAAAATAATCATTTTTTCCAAAAGCATTTTAGTATTATATTTTTTAAATATATACTACCTCCGGTCCTAATTATAAGACCCAGTTGACTTATTTGAGGAGATTAAGAAAGTAAGTTAAGTTAGTTATTTGTAATAAATAAGTGTTATCATTCCTAAAATATCCTTGCTAATTAAGTATATTGGCTAGAACTATCATTATTAGAAGGATTATCTTAGAAAAAATGCATAAATATGAGAGAGAAAATGGATTGGGGTCTTATAATTAGGACCAAACAAAAAGTCAAACAGGGTCTTATAATAAGGACGGGAGGTAGTATATACATACTAACAATTAATTAATTATATTTTTATATTTCATTTATTTTAAGCTATTCCAAACATAATAAATAGACAAAAGCAGGCTAAAAGCATCTTTTCAAGATTGAAACGCAATTCTAAACGCAATTTTAGGGGGTGTTTGGATATAATTAAACCTGTTTGGAGAATAGCTTCTGGAGAATAGCTTCTGGGGAGAATAGATTTTTTAAAGAATAGATTTTGTGAAAAAGTGATTTTGAGAAGTGAGAGTGTCTGGATAGTTGTTACCAGAGGCACTTTTTACATGTGCAAATTACTAAAAAAGGCATAAGTTAATATGATAATTACAAAAAAAATATATTTATGATATATTTTAATTTGAAGGAATAAAATTGTTATAATATATTTTTATTAACATAATTAATAATACATAAGATAATATAATTAATAAATAATTAATATGTATATATATTTATAAGATATAAGATTAAATATATTTATAAAAAAATGTTTATAAAAAAAAAACAAGATACATATCCTATAGGCTCTCACACTCTCCTTTTTTTTTTCCAAAAGCAAAAAATTTTTGCTTTTCCCAAAACCATGGTTTTGGTTTTTTTAAGGGTGTTTGGGTGATTTTTTCCCAAACCATAGTTTGGGTTATCATCCAAACACCCCTTAAACACACCCAAAGTGTTCATTTTATTGTTATAAGACTTTGTTTTTCAAATTATAATTTTTTTTTGAAGTATTTCTATTGATTACAGTGCACATAATTAAAAAAAATATTCTAGAAAAATTAACACACATCGATTCACATTAATATTTTTTTAAAAAATTTTATCATTAATTATTTATTCTCTTTCTTTTATCACACTCTCTTTTTATATTTCTCAATACGTTCTGTTTCAAATTTTTTTAACTTACTGTAAGGACATGCTCGGAAATAAAACATATTTCTTACCTACTTATTGCTTGCACCCAAAGTGGCATGTCTCACCTTGCGCTATAAATTACTACTTGATCCCTTATTCAGCCTTTTTCAAAGGTACTTTAGAGTCATTATATTATACGTAGAAGATAATGAAACATTATGTTTACTAATTGAAGGACAGGTGATCTTGCATACAAAAACCAGCCACGACTATAAATTATTGTTCTACAGAAAGATCAAAACAATATGAAAGCTTCTCAGTACAAACAGGAGAATTAATATTCGCACAATGAGTATAGGAAAACTCCATAGTACTCGTTCCGTTTCTTATTATAAGAGACATTTAATGTTTATAGCATGTTCCTATATATAAGAAACACTTAAAAGTTGTCTCTACTTTTTTGTGTTGATTTTCTATTTTACTCATATTTATTGTCTCTAACTCACACTCTCTCTCCCTCCCACTTCTCTTTCTTTTAATAATTTAATTGTTCTCTCTCATGCTCTCTCTTCTTATTAATGAGGGCACTTTTGGAAAAAAAAATATACTTTTTACACATTGATTGTTCTTAACTAATTTTAACTGCTTTTTTTATCAACGTAATTCGGTTATTCGTCTCTTATAATAAGAAACAGAGGGAGTAATCTGTAAAAAGAAATAAATCTGCAGGTTCGTAGAAAATGAAGTTTCATTTTCACAACTTGCTTTTTGGAACACTAGCTGGTTGAATCCTTCTTTCTACTGCTCGGGAAACCAGCGTCACTGCCTTCTTGCCCAGCCATGGTCCTCCATCAACTATCAGAGTGGTACCATTGACAAATTTTCCTTCAAGAATTTGAATGGACGTCAAGTTTTTATGAACAAACAAATTTAAATATAAGGAAACGATGTGATTTTCTAGTGTAAATAGATTATCATTATTCAATGGTGACTGTATCTTCATTATTATTTTATTTAGGGAAACAAGAGTTATTTTTCATTCCCTCCTTCCTATTTGTTTTCATTCTGCATACCAAATGGCTCCAATTAATTTGGGCGATTGCAAATTTTAAGGAAAGAAAAAGGCAAGACTCAATTATTATAACAATTTTTGATCGAGAAAAATCCCATTCCAATGAATTTGTCAGTTCAGTTCCCTCAATATAATCGAATGCATTAAACTGGACAAACATGATATTACAAGCACAGAGACAAGAAAACAGGATGCCGAAGGAGAAGAGCTAGTAAACAAGCAAACAAAGAAAGTAAGTCATCTCAGCTGGAAAAAATGCCAATCCCTGCATTGGTTGAAAACGTTGAATGCCTTTCAGGTTAAGTAACAATCTTAATGCATTGCATCTGTTGCATATGGTCTAAACTGCATGCTCTCTATTCTAAGATATGTTGCACCAATCCTTGATTATGTAGTCCAGAGCTAGCGGGTTGCGAGAAAGAAGATAAAGAAAAATAACAACACTCTAAAATCTAAATACATCTAATGATTCTGGTTGATGCTTAAAAAGATGTGGAAAACAAGAGCAGAGAATTTGATTGAAAAGCACTGCAATGAATACAAAGAAAATAGGAAAAATCCAAAAAAATGACTGTTGAATTTCAAAATGACAAATCAGTATTGGTTACTACACTTATAAAGAAAATGACTACATTTACAAAGCAAATAACAACATATTTTTGTAGTAATTCCTGATTTATCATTTCGAAATTCAACAGTCACTTTTTTGGAATTTTTCCAAGAAAATATACCCCAACCAAAAAATAAACATTATCTCCCATAAAGCAAAACATAAATAATTTTGAAACACTAATTGTAAATACTCGGACATAAACAAACTTACCCGCATCAGACACTAGGTAGAGAGCAGCCATGGCAATATCCTAGTTATCCCCCATGTGATCTCTGTTTTTTTTTTTTTAAATTTTCCTGAGGATCCAGTTTGCTCATGCCAGGAGTGTCACCAATAGGACCGGGTGCAATCCCATTGACCCTAATATTGTTCCCCATTCTAGAGCCAAGTTTCTGGTAACAGCATCAACAGCCGCCTATTGGAGAGGAAAAATTTTGAGGTTGAATGCAAGTACATATACATGATGTTCAATAGCTAGACAACATGCTACAGATCTTAGCTGCAGAGACATGAGTTTGATACCGAAAAGCTGTATAATGAGCGGTAGCACTGATGTTTAATATTGTTCCCTCACCAGAAGAGCTTCTTCCTTGTCCTCCTTTCTTGAGATATTTTAATGCTTCATGGCACATTGTAAACGTGGCCACCGAGTTAATATCCATAACTGCAAAAAGATTTACATCTGATCACTACCTGCATCTCGCTCTATTTAGTATATTTAAAATTGGCTGCATCATGTTCCAAACCTTATGCGATGAGTATAAACCTAAGAAGAGAGTCCAATCCTAAAAAAATAGCCTATTAGGAGGAAGAGATTCCCTAATGTGGGACCCATGTGGCTCCACTGGCCGACTTTCATTGAAAGCGCCAATATGATAAGCATAACCAATCCTAAAAAATTAGCTTATTAAGAAGGAGAACCTCTTGAAGTTATAAACTCCACAACACTTGTAAAATTTTCCAACGTAGGATTCATAACGCCTTACCTTGTGGTGTAACTGCTCAATTAGAACTTACGCATCTACCTAAGCATCTTTTCTTTTGAAGGATGCCTTCTTTAAGCAATCATAGGTTTTCAATGATGTGAATCACAGGTTATGTCTAAAAGTAGTGTTATATATCAGTTTTAAAGCTTGCTAAAGCATCTTCTATCTTCGGGTACTTAATAGATTTTCAGTACATTCAATACAGCCTCTCCGTAACGTCATATTCTCCAGTAATCGTAGTACAGTGGAAAACAACGATAATTTCAAGTTGGTACTTGATTTTATCGACAGAAGCATTTAAGACATCAATGGGTAAACAAATGCATCTCAAGATCACTTCCATTGAATTGCACGACATACTATTTACACAACTTTAAAGAAGAACAAGAATAGTTCTGCGTACTAAGAGAAAAGTAAAGGCTGTGAAACTTAAGAAATATAGTACCTGTGAGAAGAACAACCTTATTTTCAGTATATCGGGCTTGAACGTTGACTCCATGGTCATAGGCTTCTCTGGTTGAGCTTTCAGCTCACTCTGATGAATACGTGTGGAAGACAATGAAAATGGACAGAGGCAACACCAAAAGCTGCCCCGTCATTTTCTTCCATTCCTGTCGTGCAGTGGTAGCCAACCAACGCTTTTCCACTTTTGGTATAAGTACTTTCGTATTGGTTTACATTTTCTTTCCCTTTGTTTTTTAATATTACTCTTTTGGTCCTAAATGTAAGACTCATTTTGTGGTGTAAAATACATCACAAAATGGGTCTTATATTTAAAACCGGGGGAGTATATTGCATTCTTGCAATCTTTTGTTTTTAATGCAGAGTTAAGATGTTTCAGTGTATGTACTATGCATATGTAATTTCTTTTTCCAAATTATAAACATACTACTCCTCTGGTCCTTAATATAGGATTCAATTCTTGAGTTGGTTTTAATCCTAAATATAAGACTCATTTCTCATATTTATCAATTTTCTCTAAATTACCCTGTGGATACTCTCTCAACCATAATTAAATAGAAAAAGGAGGGAGTATTAAGAAAGATGATTATGATGTTTTAGGAAAAATGTGTCACTTTTCTTGTAATTAACTAATTTACCTAACTTTCTTAATTTAATCAAATTAGTTAAATTGGTCTTATATTAAGGACCGGAGGAGTAATTTATAATTTGGGAAACCCATTTTACATGTACTTTAATTTTGCTTTGTTGGCAGTTCATGTATAAGAGCTCATGGTGCTAATAGAGCAAAGTTATAGAAATTAATGATACTAATAGAAAAAATTGAAATATTTAACTAAGAAAAAAACACAGTTACCAAATTAAAAATTAAGAAGTATAAATGCCTATAAAATAATTTTATTTTATAATTTTAAAATATATACACGTAAAACTTTGAATGACGTTGTTATTACTTTTCATTGTAAGAATTTTAATTTTAAATTTTTAAAAATATTTATTATCCTATTTAAATTTTTTAACCGTTACTATACTAATCAAATTTTATACTAAAATGTTGGTTTAAACTCTGGTTTTTTTTTTTCCAGGAAAAACGTTCATTGTATCTAATTGTTGACATTTGCATTTACGCATATTAATGTTCAATTAATACAAAGTCTAAAATTTGTTGGCAAAAAGTTAGAAAGTTTAAAATTTATAGTAAATCACACTACTAATGCAACATTTATTTTTCAAATTCCAATTCTGAATGAGTGATTCCAGTGTGGGAAGGATATGGGTTGGAAGAGACACGTGACACACGTGATTTTACATGTTCAAGATTTGGCATTGAGAAGAGCAGGCAGGAGGGGCATGCTAATCATGTGCTGATCAGAAAATGCTGGGTCGTTATTCCAACAAAGGTAGAGGTCATTGGATTTGAATTCTTAGTTGTACCACAATTGTGACTTTTTAACGTAAGAAATAGTTTACTCATCAAAAAAAAAAAAAAAAAAAAAACGTAAGAAATAGTTTTGGAGTTAATTTATATAATTATATATAAGATTTCAATTTATCTTGTCTTTTCTATTTATTATTTTTTTCTCAAAATATTTTATTTAACTTATAAATTAATATATAATTTAATATTATGAAAAGATGTTTTAGGAAAATCAGATCATATATATTATAATTAATTTGGTTAATTTTTTTAGTTTACCAAAATTAATTAAATAGTTTTTATAATAAGAATAGAAAGATTATCAGATGATTTAGAGCCTGTTTGGGTGTCTCCCCAAATCATGGTTTGGGGAATAAGTCAGCCAAACAGGGAGAAAAAATCTGAAACTATGGTTTTGGACCCCAAAACCATGAATTCAGATGAAGCAGCTTCAATTTGCTTTTTGCTCCAATTTTCTGGTCGTTGGTGTGGATCAAATCGTATATGACAAAGCAGCCCCTAATAATTCATTCCTCACTTTTTATTCCGCCTTCGTCCTTCGCTGTTCAGAAAAGAGAAGACTAAAAGAAAAAAAAAAAGCATCCTGTATAATATAATGGTCTCCATCAATTTTCTATGCTGTTGGAGAGTCCGTCAGTTTCTACAACATATTTAATTAGTGAATAGGACAAAATTATTTTTCTATTAACATATATTATGTTTTATAAATATATATATACACATATTAATTATTTATTAATTATATTTTCTTATATATTATTATTACTTATGTTAGTAAAAAAATATTATCAATAAATTTATTTCTTTAAATTCAAACATATTATAAAATCTATCTTTTATGTAATTATCACATAACTTATGTCCTTTTTAGTAATTTGTACATATAAAAAGTACTTCTGATAACAACTATCCAAACATTCTCACTTTATTAGAATTACTTTTTTACAAAATCTATTCTCCCTATAAGTTATTCTGCAGAAGCTATTCTCCAAACCATAGTTTGGTGTCATCCAAACACCTCCATATAAATCCTGAGTTAGTTTTCCATATTAAGGACCGGAGGTAGTATACAGTAATTTAATATTCCCTTAGTTATTATAATTACGATTCATGTATCTACAACCTTCAATTATGCATTTAGATTTGATGTCAAAAAGAATTAGGTATTTAGATTTTAGGATCTTGAGGTGCATGTATTTTTTTTTTTTAAAGGGAGAATAATAATAATTAAGTCCCAACATTCTGGGAAAAAAAATTAAGTCGCAACAGTGTTCATTAATGATAGTCAAGAAATTAAGATCACACAAATTTTTCTGAAAAATAAGGAGTAAATATTTATTCAAGCAACTGCAAACTTAGATGTCTCAAATAAAAATAACATATTTAAATTTTAAATTTAACTCTCAGTTTGCAACTAGCATTTCTGTTTATAATTATTTGAATTAATACATGCAACTTACGTTTCAAAAATAAACATTTCTGTAGCAGTACATATACAACAATAAATTTGCCCAGTGTACTATAAGATAAAAGAAAATAAATAGACAAAACCTATAAGATTCTCACCACCCCTGGTATAAATATTTGCTTAAACGGGGTATCATCCAATGAATTAATTTGACAGTATTAACGGGCATAATGTATAGAATGGGGAAGGAAATCCAGCATGAGTATCTCTTTTAAAATCATTTAGCTGCCTTGTGGCCTTGTGCTTTGGATTGACTAGCTGCTGCCAACATTACACGCAAGCGACTAGCAATTTCGGTGAAGGATGGCCGGGCTGCAGGATTAGGTGCCCAACATTGCTCCATTAGTGTTCTCCATTCCAAATCACAATAACTTGGGATTGTTGGCCGTAATGTGTTGTTTACTATCCCACCTGCAGAGACAGAACTTTACTAACATACTAACATACTATTTCGGAAGTTGTTTATATCTGTCATCATTAATGTGTTCGAATATACCAATTGGATTCTGTATGTGACATGTATAGAAGATAATAACACAAAAGAATGTAACTGTGTTCAAATGCTAATTCACTTTTATGAATGTAAGAGATCCAGATTGATTTTTGAAAATGATTCCTTCAAAACTTGTCGTCATAAGTTGTCTCTGGTTTGTTCTTTAGCTGTCGAGCATTATGTTTAGCGAAGTTCAAAAAATTTGTGACTTTAAGCTTTTGACAAAGACGCAGGAAACCAATTAAGAAGGATGCAGCAAAATTTAAGCTGAGGCTTTACTATTGATAAACGAAAGAAGACAAAAATCATCATACCTATAATTGCACCATAGTGCATATTGGCATACGGCTCCTCACCCGTTAGAATCTCCCATAAAACTATGCCAAAGGAGAACACATCAACCTACAGATCAAAAAGCAATTCATCAAACATCATTTGCAAGAGAAATAAAGATGGCCATTAAGAAAACATTAGCTTCCAGGGCTTCATTCGTGATGATTATTAAGAGATGAAAAATCATAGCACACCCAAAAGCAAGATTTCCAAATGTAATGAGAGAATAAATAGGAGAATAAGGATGCTCCCAAAAAAAAAAAAACACACACACACACACACACACAGAGGAGTTGAGCACCAATCGATGGTCATAGGGAAGGGTGAGTCCTGAATACCAGAGAATGAGTTTGACTAATAGGAGAATTTCATCATGTGAGATAGCAACTATTTAACATCTAGATAAGAGATCACTACAACTCAATTGCTCAGTTAAAATACCTTTTCTAAGGATCAATAGTTATTGGTTCCAGTGATATTGACACCTAAGTCCCCTAAATAAAAATTAATATTCCAGGTTCAAGTCTTGCAAACAAAGAAAACTACCAGAAAAAAACTTGATACACATGTAATCTGACACAAACAAGCTTAGGCCTAACTAGCTTCCATAAACTGGACATTGCACAACCCAAACAAGCTTAGGCCTAACGTAGCTTCCATAAACTGGACATTGCACAAGTGACCGATTAATAATTTACCTTTTCTGAGACTTTGTTGCTGCTGCCATTCAACAGCTCTGGCGCCATCCAAGGCAAGGTCCCTCGCACACCACCAGAGACCAGGGTATTTCTTTTGATTTTTGACAACCCAAAATCTCCAACCTGGAAGAGGAAATTTGTTAATCTTCTCAGCACAGTTGAGATAATGATCACCGCATGAGTACCTTGCAGATTGGCCGTAGAGGATCTTTCATGTTCACAAGCAAATTGTCACATTTTAAGTCAAAATGCACAATATTTTTTGAGTGCAAATATTCCATTCCAAAAGCTGCATCCATGGCAATGATCAGCCTCTTCCTACGATCAAGATGCCTGCAATCAAAATTATGTTAAAATCCTTAGAGAAAAACCAGCCTGGCAACTTCAAATCCATCACTTGACCACTTTGACATGATTAACACTTTGGTGCCTATGGCTCAGACAGCCTCCTAATTTGAAACTATATCCAAAACAAATAGGAGATCATCATGCCTTCTATCAAAAACAGAAAGTTTTTATTAGCACATGCCTATTACTTAGCAAATATAAGGCAGGAGCAAGCCTCAACCTCAAATGAAATAATCTAAATAAGTTAATTACTCAATTTACATGTAGAAAAAACTTGGTAGAAATTCTTTACCTATCCTTGCGAAGTAATACATGCCTAAGAGAACCATCCACCATGAATTCAGTAACAGTGGCCATCGTTCCACCTGGTCCATCCTGGACCACACCATAAAATGCCACCACATTTGGATGATGAAGTTTGGAAAGTATGTCAGCTTCCCGCCAAAACTCTACAGTCTAGAAGAAGGAAGGAAATATATCCATATCATTAATTCTATAATCAAGAGTTTGTGAGATGGAAAGATTTTTCAATAGGACGTCTTTAAAAAATACTCCTCCGGTCCTTATTATAAGACCCAATTTGACTTTTTATTTGGTCCTAATTATAAGACCCAATCCATTTTCTCTCTTATATTTATGCATTTTTTTTCAAGATAATCCTTCTAATAATGATAGTTTTAGCCAATATACTTAATTAGTAAGGATATTTTAGGAATAACAACACTTATTTATTATAAATAACCAACTTAACTTACTTCCTTAATCTCCTCAAATAAGTCAATTGGGTCTTATAATTAGGACCGGAGGAGTAATAAATAAATAATTGGCACATTCTATGCTGATAAATTACCAGTCTCTCTTGTTCAGATGATCGACCGGTGAAGCAGCTTTTCTTGATTCTTTTGATGGCAACATCTGTCCCCCTCCATTTTCCATGATAAACAGTCCCGAAGGTACCAGAACCTAGTTCCCTCAACTCTTCAAGATCTTCATTCTTTATTACCTATAAATTCCACCATGTAATGAAAAACATTGAGGACCTACCAATCCAGCTACAAAACATTTCACAAAAGCAATTGGTCAAGAGTTATAGGCCCATAAATGATATCTAACACTTCAAACCCCCCAAAAAAGGAACGCAAGGTCCATCAATCTACTGAGATTTGTTAGATATTATAATAGAACTATTTATTCATCTTTACTTAACATCTTAAACTTTAGCGTTAAAGTGTTCCCTGACAATGTATCAGTACCTCTATGATCAAGTGGTCTAAACTTTGACCCTTGCAAAACCAAAATGGAAAATTAAGGCTTGCCTCAAAACTACTTGGAACATTGTCCCCTCAACTACATGACGGAAGAAATGATTAAGAATAGATCTATAAACGTGTTTGAATACCGTTGTGATGAATAATGATCAGAGGACTGTAAACAGTTTTTTTTCCCCTCAAAAAAATTAGGATTGTGCTAGTAGGAGTTAAAGCAGGAAGAATGAGAATTGAAAATATATTATGACACAGCTAACAAATCACTCCTAGAATAACATTTCAAAGAACATAAAATCGTGAATTAAAAAAACTATTTCTACATGTTTTCAGAAAGATGATTTGATGACTGCTACGGGGGATCAATCTATCAACATGATCATAAACTGTCCCTTCATCTATCATGCAAGTAATCCTCAAAGGAGACCAATGAAACTATTAATTCATAGTGTTTTTTTTTTTCCCATTTAGGGAGCTTGACACTGTTTCAGGCTTGCATTTCCACATAATAGGTTCCATCCAGAGCAAAGAAACTAAAATTCCTGGTATAATATATTAACTAAACATTAAATCCATCATGAATGTACATTATTGAGTGGCGGACCTATATTTACATCATTCATGCAAATGAGCTGATCCTAAACTTCTGCAATCTGATAAGTGAACACCCTTGAAATCAAAGTACATAAATACTTTCTTAATAAAGCATTCTTTATACCACTGGGGGTAAAGAAAAGGAAGCAAAAATTGAAAAAGAAAAAAAGACCAACATCAAACTGAAAAAAAAATATATACAAGCATCATACCTGCAAGGTACTGATATCAACATCTCCTAAAGGATCATCAAGAGGTGGTGGACTACTGTTTTGTTTTTCAACACTCACGTCCTAGGTTGAAGCCATGGGGGACAAAAATTGTGTCAGAAGAAACGCAGATCTGAACAGATTCTCAAACCAAAAGGTCATCAGAAGCATACCTCAAATTCAGATTCTTGAGCTCTTATGTTTCCCATCATAGCATCAAACTGCATGCTTTCAGTTTCCTTAACTTGGGACTGGTGCCCATGATTTGACTGCAGTTCAGCTGTTTCAGCTCCAATCATTCCATGCAATTCTCTCTGATTTTCTTCACCAAGGTTGGGGTGGGGTTCCACATGATGTAAAGAAACTCTATCAGTCATTACAGGTGTAATCAGGTGAATTTTATCATTCCCGGCTTCATTTCCTGGTGCAGGTGAAAAATCAAGATGGTCCCGGTCAATAAGAGACACATTATCAAGCCCTTCTTGTGCCAATTTATGAAAATATGACCATGCTTTAGGTTCATGATTTTCCATGGCTATGCTTACACTAATTCCATCCTTGGTTAGCGGAAGTAGACAGGATGAATCTTCTGCAAGTGCTGCTTTAGAGTACATATCTGAAAGCCATTCACGGGGAAATCGATCATCAATATCAATAAGAAGACCTTGTGCTTGCTTGGAAACAACGTTGGAGGGTAAATCTTGATAAACATCCTCAGCCGGGTTCTCAGCAGAAGAAACAGGTAGTGCTTGTGTCACACAATCATCATTGGTCTCCTTTGTAGAGGTGTCACCCCAATTAATCTCCGGAAATTTAGATGCTGGATCATCGTGACGACTAACAGAAGGAAGCTGCTGCAGAGTACTGTTTTTGTTTTCATCCAGCAGAGGCCCCTCATGGTTATCTTTAAAATGACTTTCAGCTTCCAACTTATTAAACTGATCTTCATTAACTACATCTTTACTTGACTTATTGTTTGGCAATACCTGCTTCAATTCAGGGTTTACATGTTCTGATAGCTTAAATTTTGACTGACCGCTTGCACTAGGCACATGCATTGGCGGTCTGGCAAATCCATTATCAACAGTGTGGAGATCTGCATGCAAGGGCTTTGCTGCACTGTTCAATTCCTCAGGACGACTGGCTAGATTTCCATTGTGCATGTTGTCACCAGATTCTGCAACTGAACCCTGTGGGTTGATATCAGAAATTAAATCTGACACAAGAAATTGAGACCCCTGGGTATCATCTGACTTTGAGGAACGATTCAGTGTCTCAACTCGCTCTCTGGGAGTACTTTCTGAATAGTACACTCTCTTTGGAAGTGGAGGAGGGTGAATACCACTCAAATCATATGGTTTGGAATGGGAATCAACATAAGCAGGAACAAACGCACTGCTAGCTGTAGAAGACGACTCTTGGCTATCCTGTTGTGAGTCTTGTTTGGCTGAAGGTGATGAAGACATATGCCCCTCTTGTAAAGTAACAGCTATGGTAGACTCAGGAAAATTATTTTTCAAGCAGCCATAAAACGGTTGAGAAGGAACAGCAGATGGTGTTTGCATGGCTAAAACTTTCTCAGGGTCACTTCCCTGTTGGACTGAAGTACCACCTATGTCGGCCACTGGCATTGCCAGTATTTTGGAATTCTGAACTGGTAATCCACTAGGTAAACGGCCCTCATTTAAAATCCTAGGTAGATTAATCATCCCATGAGGAGGAATGGTAGTGGGAGCCTCTCGAAAAGCAGGGTTGTGGGAAAGATTAAGGTCTTGATGAATTGGATACTGACTAATGGTTTCCCCATGGAGTACCATCTGATCACCATAAAACTGTGGATGGGTTTCATAACCATTTGATAAAGTTTGTGGCATTGGCTGGGATGACTGGAGAGTTAATGATGAAACAATTTTACTGGTCAGGGGAGCATTGCTGGTACCTACAGTTCCTATGGCAATTCCACTAGTCTCCCTGTCATTATTGTGCCTGTACAATTCATGTAAATTATTTGCTGAGGAGCTCATACCAAGAAGTGTTGAGTTGTTTCTTGATTCTAAGTCCATGCCATTGACAGCAATAACAAACTGGATCTCAGAATCATCACTCAGGCCATTGAGACCAAACTGAGCATCCTCTAAATCATTCATCGAAAACAAAAACATCCTAAGCTTTTGTGATCCTTCTCTATCATCCAGATGATTACATTCCTCCATCATATTCTGCAAATCCTCATCAGATGACACTGATACCAAAGCATCAAGCTCTTCCCCAGGAAGTTGATATTTAAGTATATGAGCCTGATTATAGATTGACAATGTTTTATGCATCAGCCCCTGCCAAGATATGTCTTTTCTTAAGCGGATCATGCGTGTTTCACCTCCAACATACCTTAGCTTTCCATCACTTGGCCGAGGCAATATTCTACCACCAAAGCTGCAAAGAATTTTCATTGTATTTGAAGAGTTATCAGAGCCTCCAAAAGAGGTATAACCACACACAAATCGACTATTGTCCTGATTGAATGAAGATTTTGGTAATGATCTAATTGACCCATAATTGCTTCTGTCTTCAGGTAATGACAAGTTCTTTTTATCATACTCTTTTGGACCCTTTTCAACAATTGAAAGCATAGAGATATCTGACCCACTTTCAGATCCGGCATGACTGATACCTAGAATGTCTTTCAATTTTATATAACCTGATGCACAACTGGGATCACCAGCATTTGGAAATCCAGGCTTCCCAAGATTCACCCTGTCTCGCATAAACTCAAGAGCGAATTCCTCACCAGTCTGTATGGAGTAATTAAGAACAGGCTTAACATCTGATGTACTAAGGTCAGAAGACCTTCCATTGGTATGCATGGCATCCAGATGGTCCTGCATTACTAATGGTGGTGCTGGCTGCAATTCCTCATTTCCCGGTTCCATGGCATTGCATTGAATCAGATCATCATTTTTTTCAATAAAAGTTCATTAAGAGGACAAACCACAAGGAAGTTCCAGATTTTCAGTGACTGAGCAGTTTCAGTTCGTCATAATGAATAGTAAAAGGGCATCAGCAACATTAGAAATTCTCAACACCTGCCTAATTTTCTTCCAAAGCACAACTTGACTCTGAAGCAATTGCCCTGGGAACGCAAGGAAATTAAGACAAGATTTTTTTTTTTTGGGGGGGGGGGGGGGGAGTTAATATGCAAATGATGTTGCTGATGGAAACAGATAAATGATGCATCTGTAATCAAGTATGAATGTTAAACTACAGAATGAGAAAATTTAATAAAATTATTTGAGAAATACTAATGTTCCTACTTGCTAAAAGCCTATATAAGGAACCTAGATCTATAATCATTACCATAAAATTATTAAAGCATATCATTAACAACTTTGAATTTTGAAACTCAGTTGTTTTCTGGGCAGTAGACCGGTTCCATTTTGCAAACAACTCAGGGCTATTATGTAAATGGGGTGTCGGAGTACAAATGAGAAATTGGATACAATACCTCAAGATTCATAATCCATTATTAAGATAGTCATAAATCAGTATTAAGATATCCATGTGAGACTAAAATTACAAATCATTTTCGCCTGGGACTGACCTGTACAGCTACTTTTTAATGAACAGAATAAATATAACATTTACCGCATTATTAAAGATGATGAGAAGTACCGAAGCACTCCCATAGCTAAAACCCTCACCCCATCCCGAGGCCAAATAGAAGCCAAAAAAAAAAACAAAGGAAAAAGGAAAGAATGGAAAAGAACAAAATGGAATAAACAGTTTGTGTTTAATAAAATACACATTACTCAGTAAGTAGCACTGTCCAGAGGAAAGAGAACTTAAGAAGCCTAAGAAGAATTGTTCTTTTTAAATCAAGTTATTGTTTAAAAATTTATTACTGGAAGTTATATGATATCAGTGGCTATCAAATATATGCAACCATAATAACGGTGTTGGTGGTGGTGATGACAATGAGGAGGAGGAGGTATGGGGCACTCTGAAATCATACACGTGGCAGGTAGTTGTCATATCCTTCGTAGTTCTTTCTTCACCAAATCTTTTCCACTCATTTCCTTTTCTAAATCTAATAAGCGCAACAACATTTTAGTAATCTTTCATTAAACCATCATATAGATTATCTAATCAGACTTTGGATTATGACTCGTGAGTGTGCTTAAGTAATGCCAGGTAGAAGCTACAAACTTTTGCAGTATTAATAATAGATTAGTTGAATGAAAACAGAACAGATGGGATTCCCAAAAATCAACGCCATCATATAACTTGTAAGATTAATGGAACTCACATTTATGCATCATTGAGACATTGAAGCAGGCAGATGTCTGAGGGGAAAAAATCTAGAAAGAGTTCATTTATAAATAAATGGCACACATCTAATGTGCAAGTGTAATCCTGGAAACGGAATTTAATGAGCTAAATGGTAGTCACATATGGTCGAAATAATTTATTTCAAGAACAATTTCACTTAGTCATTAAGTCGAAAACAATAACAACCATAGAATGTGGCATATTTATTAATCATTATTCTAACAGCAAAGGAAAATTTAGCACCAACTAAAGAAATATTTGGATTAGCCAATTGGGCAATCTAGAGTCACCGAGAAACTCCAAATATATAATGATCTTCCACTTATCTCCATCTTAATTCCATAAATTCAAGTTTACCAGTCTAGGGTTCTGATTCTAACTACTGCCAACAAGAGCACCGTAGACACGGATAGCAGGTAAACTTCACATTGAAGCAAAGGGCGTCAATAGCAAAAAGCGCGAAGATCGCAAAACCAGCAAAAGAAAACAGAATATTACAGTGACCAAAGCTACCTGATGAAAGAACAAATTTTTTTCTTTCCCATTGTTCTAGGTCGTAGCTGCCGCTAGATTTCTCATGATGCTCTCAGAGGAAGAGCCATTTCTGCAGTTCCGCAACAAAGACAATGCCAAAGCCAAAACAAAAATTCAAACGTTATTATCCTCTCTCACTTTCATGCATCAACATTTCTCTCAGTCTGCATCAACTTGAAACCTTCCAGAAGAGAATGATGGCTCTCTCACCCTCCCTCTTCCCCTCCCTCTATCTTTCCCAGTAGCGTCGCCCTTCTCGGCTGTGCCATTAATATTTCCCTGTCTGCATTTAGTCAAACGAGAGAAAGAAAATATTACATTTCCCAAAATACCCCTCATAATTTGACGTTCTTACTGAAATACCGCGTTTGGTTTCCCTCCCCTTCCACCATACGGGCGCAGCAAGCCACTGCCCTTAACTTGAGCTTTAAGAAAGTTTGGAATTTGGATAGGAAGGATCCTTACTGTTAATTCAATCCTTCATGCCAATCACAATTATAACAAATTTCTTATACATGACACCGGACCAAAAAACTTCCACAAGATTTTTGCAGTGAAAAAAAATCAATGATTAGGACTCTGAAAATTTGGTTTAAAAAATTTGCAATCATGAAATTGAAATTTGCCCAAATGAAAGCAACCATTTAACCACTTGATTGAGCATGCTTAGTTATGGTTTCTTCACGTTCTCAAGTTGCTATTTCATCATATAAGATATTCACCGCATCCCAACTTGCTGTTGCCTCTAGGAAGCTTGAAGAAGAAATCAACTGTTTTTTTTTTAAATCACATTGTGAAGAAAATTGTAGGATTACTTAGCTTTTAATTAAGAGACTAAATTAATTGATGAGTTAATCTCCTGCTTCTAAATATAATACTTAATTGAGAAAAAAAATTTTGCTACCAAATCTCAATTTTCTTTCTCTTCATCATTTAATATTTTTTATAAATTACTTTCATTAATTTTACATTTTTTTCTCATTCTTTTTATTTTTCGTATTGAATAATTTTGTTAAGAGAGAGATATTTTAGAACCTATTTGATTGAAAGGATATGGAGGGAAGAGATTTTACTTCCCTTCCCTTATTAATAATGTTTGGTTAAAAAAATAAGAAAGGGAAGGAAAATTTTATCCCTCCTCTCAATAAGGAAGAGGACTTAGAGACTAGAGTTTTAACTTATTTTCATGAGACAGGTTTAGTTAACCTTGTTAGTTTTTAGGGTGCTATGTATTTAACATCCTAAAATATTTTCTTAGATGCATTTAATATCTTAAAGTATTTTGTGGTATATCTAATATTTTGAAATATTTTTTAGGTACATCCAATATTTTGAAGTATTTTTTAAATGCATCCAGCATCAAATAAAAACTCTACTTCTATTCTTTTCTCTTCTAACTCTCTTGAATGGATCCTATCATCTTCACCACGATGAGCTGGTGTGTATGTCAAATCTTCCTTAGCGTTGGAGCTAAGTTAGCTCAATATCCTCTCAAATTTTAAATATAAAATCTAATTAACTAATTTAACAAATTTTAAAAAAATTTGATTAAGTTTGTTATTTATATAAAAAATGCGTGTCACTTTTTCTAACATTCTATTTGATTAATCAAAACAATGATAAGGAAAGCGATTTTAATAGAGCATAGAAGAGGCTGTCCATTATCCATATTAATTTTGACCTTGACTCATGTATTTATGGAATCATAATTATAATACTAGTATATAGGGATGTGATGGAACATTATTGTGACTAGTCGGCATTAATTATTGATTTCAGATAAATGTTGCACTTGGTATCATTATGCTTAGATAGATACCACGTAATTTAGGGTTTGGATAAAAAAAATCCTACCGTTTTACCAAAAGTGTATTTTATTATATATATTTAATTTAATTTAATATATTGATCATTCAAAATATTAAACAAATATAAATTTTTACAAATATATCAATATAATAGTTCAAAACTTTATATATTTCTTTTAATGAAACTATTTTTCAATTAGCAAACATCCTCAACTCAAATTCAAACATTTTGGGCAGGGTTAGGTTCAAACAAGGAACCAAACACGCCATGGGAATAGGACTCACTTGATGGCTTTAGCATCTTCGCTTTGTAATTTATCCTCTGAATGCAAACGCCAATCTCCATTTTAAATTTCAAAAAATTTAAGGATACTTTTTTAAATAAAAAAATATGAGATATGAATTAATAAAATATTTTAAAAATATTATTTAGTCAACTATCAAAGTAATGGGTCCAAGTCTAACCGACCAAATCAGGTAGCTTTCTCATTTCATAATATTCTTTTTTTCCCCCATAAAGTATTCAACTAGGTTTGAAAATTGTTTCCGTCTTCTTTTGTATTTACAGTTTGGCAAAAGTTTGGCGTGAATGTTGTTAATTTTTTCAATTGCCCCTCAATTTTGAACCACAACAAATGCACATACTCATCTTTTGAAGTCACTTTCAAAATCACTCGCTTTTATTCCCATTCCTAATATAATACTACATTTGATATTTAATATATAAGTTAATTGATTAATTTGAGTAGATTAAAAAGTTAGTTACGTTAGTTATTTATAATAAATAGGTGTTAAGTTTTTTAAAATACCCTTACTAATCATATGTATTAAACAAAATTTTTAATATGTGCAACTACTACAAAGGTTATTTTAAAAGATAATAGATAAATATGACAGACAAAGTAGATTGAGAGTTTATACTTAGATCTTATATTAAGACAGTAGCATATTTCACAACAAATGTATTTTTCCCATTTAATTAAGAGAATTTTTTTGGGCGAATGAGAGATTAGGTAAACTACAATAACAACGTGGTCAACCGGAAGAGTTTTTGGTTTTTTTTTTTTTCTTTAAAGTGATTAAATATGTCATAACTTCATTAGAGTCACAACATTATAAATGCATTATCTTGTCGTCCGTGAAGATAAGACTTATAATATGAGTATTAATATTTTTTGCCGACAAATATGAGTATTAAAATTAAGTGTTATAATCACCATTAAATAATAATTTTGTGACAAGTATTTAAGTAATATTTAATACAAGTAATTGATCCATATTTAAAAATTGTCAAACTCAAAATACATATAGGTTTCCTGATATATTTCCCCCAATTATAAGACCTAAATTTAATATGTTTTGGGTGGCAAAAAGAATTTAATATTTTTTGTTTAAAGGGTATTAAATCTTTTCTGCTCAATTTAATTGTGGTTAATATTATAAATGATTTTAGTTAGTAAATATAAAAGCCTTTTTTATATGGATAAAATTATTTTTTGAGTTTCTGTTTTATTTTTATTAGTCCTTTTCTCTTTTGGAGGCAATCAACTTTTAGATAAAGAGAAAGAGGAAGGTTCCAATGCCTTTTTTTTTCCCCCACTTGCATTGTGTGTCAAAATGGACGGTTCTTATAGTTTTCTAGGTGGTCCTCATTCTCAAGTGGCTACATCTCTTGCAATGCAAGCGATATCTAACTTTACTATTTCAAAAACTAATATAAAATTAAAAAAATAATACTTCTTTTCTGTCATTATATAGGAGCTGGTTGGAGTTAAATTGATTCTTAAATATAAAATATTAATTCATTTAGTCTTTTATATTTATTATTTTTTTAAAAATTAAATTTGTGAAATGTACATAAAGAGGAATCTTTGATCAAGAACTAAAAATTTGCAACATGCTAATTCTCTTCCTAATTTGGGTCGGCATGGCACGCACTATAGCAAAGAAGATACTTTAATTAATTTTCTCGAGGGATTCATGGTTCCCCACACCTTTTTAATGAATTTGACTTTGCTTATGTGCCTGTGCCAGTTGATTAATCATTAATCAATATATGATGGTAAAACTAGTATAAAAATATTAACATATAATATAAAATTTGTAACAAATCGCACTACTTATAAATAAATTGTAAATAATGTGGTTAAAAAAGCATTATAAAAACACAAAACTTTGCTCTACAAGAGCTCATATAACTTTAAAAAAATAAGCATTATAAAAATAAGGATAAGATAATGAAGATTACTCATATGATCGTAATGATAAATCACTTATAACATATTTTACTGAAATAATAAAAAATAATTATATCTTGAAATTTAATAACTTTTTAATTTTACTTATATTTAATATATTTACTTTCCAAGAAAATAATAATACAAAGAATAATAAATTAGGAGTAAAATTATGAATAAAATAAATTTAATGTGGTGATTTACATTAAAAATATACTTCCTCCACCCAAATAATTTTTTTTTTGGTTGCCCAGGGTTCCTTTCACTCAAATGGTAAGAGACTAATATCTCGGAGTACTGTCAAGTGCTGTAGCGGGAACTCCTCCCAATAATGTTTTTTTCCATACACACCGCCCTAAGGATTTAACCTAGGACATGATATTTAACATACACAAATCTCTTCCATTTGGACTAACACTTAATTAGGATAAGAGGAGTGTATAGAAAGTGACCATTTTGTTTGGGCCCAGGTAAATGACCTTATTCTCATAATGTGTCTTTATTTCTAATACTTTTCTGATTTTTAATATAAGACTTAATTATTGAGTTAATTTTGATCTTAAATATAAGACCTATTTCTCATATTTATCATTTTTTTTAAAAATTACCCTTGTAGATATTCCCTGAACCATAGATTAAGTTAAAAAGGGAGGGAAGATATTAAAAAAAAATTATGGTATTTTAAGAAAAACATGTCATATTTCTTATAATTAACTAATTTACCTAACTTTTTTAATATAACCAAATTAGTTAAATAGGCCTTATATTAAAAACCAGAAAAGTAATATTTAGTTTTAAATAACTATAAATAGCTTTGGAGGGGTCACAATCAGAAAATGGAGTTCAAATCGGTTCCGTTTCTTTTATACAAAAAATGTCATTTTCTTGGGCCAGTTTCTTAACAATTTCAGCAAATCATTTGGAATTTTCTGAAAGGCATATTCCTCAAGTTATATGAAGACAAGACCAACAATGATTTTCATGGACCTTTCATGTACCAATCTATATCAACCTTTATCTAACTTTAAATGTCATTTTCCTTCTTTAATTTATTTTCCAATAAACTTGCATAAAACTCCATTTACCCGCTGACACTTTCCTGGGGAGGGAGAAAAACACAAAACTTTGCTCCGTAAGAGCTCACACCTCATAATTATATTATTCAGTCCTTTAACTTTGACACAGTTTCAATTTAGTCCCTTTAATTTTAAAAAACATGCATTTAGTCATTTAACTTGAAAATTGTTAACAAAAACGAAGATATTGAAATCTTAGGGATAAAGGATCAGATTGAAAGGTAGATACACCTTTCTGTGCTTACTTTGTAAATGGAGAAAATCTGGGCCAAGAAAAATTGTCCAATGCAAAACACTGTTTGTGTCCAGTTCCCCTCACTTTTGGGCCAAATATATTAAGACTGGGCCTGTCTTTTGTTCTCATGATAATTTCAATTAATTGCTAAAATTAAGAAAGGCAAACCATATTAAGTCCAACTTCGTCGCGGACATGATAACATCTGAAGAAACCAGAGTCAACTAATGATGTTAAATTTCCAACAGGGTTCTGGAGACAAGGGTCAGGATAGTTTTCTAAGGCACTCCATTAGGATACCTGTGTGTTCGGGCTTCCCAACAGACACACGAACATAACCCTTCAGCTCTTTCTTGTCATAATGGCGAATCATCACACCCATTTGTGCAAGGTCCTCCTACATTTCACATGATTCAAAATCTAATCCAAGTCCCCAATAAACAATAGCATACAAGATTGCATGATTCAAGGACTATATATATATATCTGTATATATGTATATATGATTGGCAAAAGAGCAAAGAACCAATAGATAGGAAGGTACCTTTAGCTTCTTGGCGTTCATTCCAGAAGTAACCTCACAAAGAATGAAGTTAGAATGGCTTGGAAATGGTCGGAGGAATGGAACTTCCTTCAAAAGGTCATAAAGCCTTTCTCTTTCTTTGACCAAAGCATTTTTAACATTCTGGATGTCACAGTGGATTGGTTAGATTTGGGTTTCAATTGGAGGCCGTGATCATTTAGTCACACAAACAACATATAAGTTTTGCTCTCAAAATCATTAGGAATTTACCTCTAGATAGATAGGGTTCTGTAACGCTGCACATGCAGAAATTTCAGCAGCAACAGATACATTATAAGGTTGCTTTGCTCTCCATAAATACTCAATTATACTCAAAGGAAAAGCTCCATATCCCACACGAAGTCCAGCCAAACCTGAAACAGTTATTCGTTTTGGAACTTCAGCATTTAATGGCTCAGAATTCAAATTGAGACAAGAATAAATAGTCATTTCATAAGAATTTACCATATCAAAAATAACAAAACTATTCAACATCGTATCCACAGATGGGATATCATAATACAAAATTTTTTTTTAACATCATTAATGCTTGCGATAAAAATTCTTTCACCAAAATAATAGAGTATATTTTCCGTTATGTCACCCATGAATATAGATTTCTTTCCACTTTTTAATTGGTGTTACTGTGAACTTAGGTCTATCACAGTCTTCCCCTTCTCTATCCACGTACACCTAAAGCAATATGTTGTAATCGGACAAACCACTTGACCGTATCTGGAGCGAAAGCTACCAAAATCTTCAAACAAAAGCCCTCATTTGTGCATCTGTGCATTATTGGGGAACATAAGACAATGACTTTTGACAAGACCACAAGAGTCCTCCATCCTATTGCAAAGGGCCCATTTGATACTCAATGGAAATAAGTAGAAAGGGAAAAAAAGAATAAAAGTGATTTTTGCAAGGGTGGAAATGACCCTCCTACCCCTAGTTTAGAAGAGCAATAAAAAGAGAGATAACTATTGAGTAATGGCTACAAGAACAAGGGGGGGAATCAGACTCCATATGTTCAGTTTACCTAGATTTTTTGTATACTAAGAGCATAAATTTCTTGTATAAGTAAAGGAAGATCAAAATTATAACAAAAAGAGTGAAGGTAAAATGCGAGCTCCAATCAAAAAGTAACCTATAAAATGGGGGGAAAAAAGCATTAATGTACCAGCTCTTTTGCTAAATGTCCGAAGAACAATCAAATTCTCAAATTTCTTCACCCAACTCATCTTCGACTCAATTCCAGAAAACTCAATGTACGCTTCATCCAGCACCACTAGTATGGGAAGATCAAGTATCTTTAAGAGAACTTCATCATCAATTATACTGTTGCGCAATCAAAAGCAACCAAAAATAAATAACTTCAAACCAATGGAAAATTGAAAGAAAGAAAATCTCAGTACATATTTAATCATTTACTTATTTGATAGAAAAGAAAAAAGTTACTAGATAGGAATAGAATTACAAAGGAGGGTAATAATAAGACAGCCTCAAAAAGAAAAGCCCAAAAAATTGGGGGAAAATGATCAAAGAAAATGACAAAGCGCAATTTCTATACATACAAGGCAAGGAGACTCCAATACTCCAAAAGAGAACAGATCCTTTCCTACAAGTTATTTAGAGTTGCATATGCATCCTAGTATTTCTTTCCAATCAAATACACCAACAAAATCTCCGTAAAGCCTTAAAACCGCCATTTTATTTTTCTTTCCAAACCATTATACCAAATCAACAAGAATTGATAAACATTTTGGGCAAACACAAATCAAGATTCCATACACAAATTCCAAACAACTTATCCGAGGAAAAGTAGCCATACAATGATGTAATAAAGTTCAAACTAGCCTGAATTATGTTCTAATTAGTGGAAACGAAAACTATAATAATAATGATGATGACGACGATGACGATAAAACCAAATTATAGCACCAAAGTCATACAAATTCTGAGAGCCCACTACAACACCACGCACTACTCTTCTGGTCGTATTTATAAGTTACTTTCAACATGTTTCATACAAATTAAGAAAAACCTTGAACTTTATCAACTCTCATTTAAAATTCAACAACTTTTCAACTTTATCTCTATTTATTATCCATTATACCTCATATAAACAAAGTCAACATAATAATAAATAAAGGACAAAATTGTACAATCATATAAAAAATTTCTCTTAGTACCTTACAAGTAAAACAAAAAAAATCTTCTCTCTTTACCCTATAAATAGGACCAGAAGAGTATTTTATAAAGTGAATGACTATTGACTAGGACTATGCAAAATACCTGAAATCTTAATGAGACACTTCGAATCAGATTCCAAACTTTTTTTTTTTTGGGCGTAAAGATTCCAAACATTCTAATAATACCTAAATTTGTTGATTATGAGCTCTAATGAAGGAAATCACAATGGAAAAATAATCAAACAGCACAAGCATGCACAAAATGAGCAAAGACAACTCAATAGTTACCTTCCATCTGGATTGTTTGGTGACGTTAAGAATATACATTTGGGTTTCTCTTGTTTAACAACCTCTGCTATGCGTTTTACATCCAGGCTGAAATCTTCCCTCCTCGGAACTGCAGCATAAACAACACAGAAGGTTTAGCACATCCGACATGAAAATCAAAGCACACTGAGCTGGTAACAAAAATGTTTACAATTAGTATACTAAAATATGTCATTCTACACATCAAGAGATGAAGTTTTCTTACTTGTCTAGTCAAGAGATTAAATAAATTTACAATCTATGGTTCAATGTGTTTGAGAATCTCTGATTTTCTTCATCAGGTATGAACGGATTTCTAATCTTTAGATAGGAATATATTTACAACATAATATAGGTTGCTTGGAGGAAATAGCATTCTTGCCTTTGACAACAAGTGCCCCATTAACTGCAGCATCAAACTCATACATGGTAAAGGTTGGAGGACAATCCACAATCTTGTCTCCAGGATCCAGCACACAACTGCGTCATACACAAACCTTGTATAAAAACTCAAAGGATAAAAAAGGAAAAACAAAAGGGAATAATTTTCAGTCATTAAGTCATCCTAAGCAGACGTTTAAGACAGTGAATAATAATTTGACGCTTGTTAGACCACAAAAAGGTTATGTTCCATACCGCATGATCAGATCAATGAGCTCATCTGCACCACACCCTGCAAGAATATATTCTGACTCAATGCCTGAATCTTGGGCCAGGGCTGCACGCAATCTACGGCTTTCTGGGTCAGGATAGACATAAGGGAATCTTATTGATCCTAAGGCTTCCAAAACCTGTCAGAAACTTTGATAGTTTGGTCAGAAAATAACATATAGATGAAATGCTCAGACAAGTCCTGACGCAGCCCAAAAACAAACTTCAGCATCAAAATCTTATAAACATTCAAAAGTTGAACTATAATTTTTATCCTTACTGTCATTGTTTATTATCATACCCAACATTCAATACCATGAAAGTGAAAAGACAAGTATTAGAGCTTGCCTCTGGAGGAGGACCATAAGGGTTTTCATTTGCATCTAACTTGATAATATCCTCAGGTTTTCGCCCAAGACGAGAAGATAAAACCTACAGCAACATGCCTTCATTCGTTAATAAATTGAAATGCAGTGCAATGAACAGGGTCTTTGCAATTGTACAGTGAACTTGGGCTCTGATATCAAACCCTGACATCAAATTAGAATAAAATTATTGTGGAGCATTAACAAATATATTTCTAATCCAAAGTAATGATTCAAAGAGTGTGCTAAAAAGCCCAACTGTGGAACCCAAAGCTAAAACATTTGGAAATAATTTAATAACTATCCAGTGCACTTTTAAGAGAGATGCCATTGTGGCTATAGTCAGGTAGAAATGGAGTTTGATGAGATGATAAGAGCGACCTCAAATGGCAAAATGGGCTGGTAAGGGGACAACTTCCTGAGATGCTCCCTAATAAAGGTGTCACCAGTTAATTTATTGACTTTTTCTACAGGAATGGTGGAGGCCATTGCCACAAACTTCTGATTCCTCCCAAATGAACAAGTAGGTAGTGATGAGAGCCGAAAAGTAGTAGTGTTGCACAAATCAATAACCCCCATTTAATACCTGCATAATGTTAACTCCATAAGAAGAGCTTCACAGACAAGGAATATAGAAATGAATTGGATAGGAAAAAAAACTTGTGCCAGAACAGATTCTTCATTTTCAAAAGTTGCCAAAAGCTAATGGATTATGTTCTTTTTCTTCTTTTTTTTTCCTGTACAAAAAAGGTAGTTCTTTAACTTGAGTGTCAGTAAAATGTCCAAAATTGCTTTTTGTCATAGGATTCATCATTTTCATTAAGTTTATGTCAGATAACATCAATCGAATAATTTCAGATATTAATAAGAGGGCGATGGAAACATCTAATTAGAATGGAATGAAAAATAAAAAAGAATAACACTATATAAATAAAAATAATTTTTGGATTCTTTCGCCAAAGAAAAAAAGAAAATTATTAGCAGTAAACAGTAATAATAGAAGTGTGATTGAGATTATATAGCTTGATTTTTTACATAGCCAAAAGAAAAAAAGAAAAAAAGATATTTAGTCCTATATTTTTTATTGATTTTAAATTAAGTCCATATAATTTTAGAATTTTCAGAAAAAGCCCTCAAATATGTAAATGTCACTGTTAATCCTCCATATTTTATAAGTTTCCAATCCACTCCCAAAATCCACCAAATCAGTGAAAATTGAACTTAGCCAAGGTCAAGGACAGCACTACCTGCTGATTTGTTCTTCACTCAACTGAATTTGAGGCAAATTTTAATTGCTGCACCTGATTTCCATACCTGTGACAAATATGTAAACATTCGATGCTAAGATGACACTTGATGTTAACAGTGCAAAAGAAAGAAATCTACAGAGCAAATTTTGTGAAGCATATGACTAGAATCTAGAACTTGTCAGAGATAGAGAGATTATAGGGAGTAGATACAAAGAAAAGTGAACCCCGCACATACTTCAACTCTTTTATATCAATCTTCCCCCCTAAATATATGATGCTTTATTCTCCTCGTGCCTGACAAAGGGACCTTCAAGAATACAACGATATTCTACCAATAATCTCCACAAGAGCATTGTCCTTCTTTAAAATGATGAAAACAATTTGAATCCCTCAAAACGATATGACAAAGGAAGACTCTTGATATGTATTTCATAGCAGTATGGCAATCCCCACAAACTCGGATATTCTTAAAAATTCGAATTGGTGCACCTGCTGGTGAAGCAATAAGTCCAAAAGCAACAGCCAGCTTCTCACTGTGATAAGCAAGCCCAATCTCCTTTCCCTCCCTCTCCATGTCATGCAAAGCAAAATTCATATCTGGAACATAGCCAGCCTCCTTGATTCTTATTATTATTTCATCTATTTTGGCATATATCTCAACCGTTCTAGGATGCCCTCTGTCTTCAGATAGGAAGATATGAATTCTGCTGTTTACCTCAACCCAACTGCACCCTGGCTCTTTAACTATTCCCTTTGATTTCATCAACTTCCGAATTTTTGCAGCATCATCCCATTTGTGAGCAGCAGAATACATGTTAGACAACAGAACATAAGGCATAGCATTCATGGGTTCCAACTCAAAAAGGTTTTGGGCTGCCATCTGTCCCAATTCTATGTCTCCATGAACTCTACACGCAGCAAGCAGTGCCTTCCACACAGTTGCATCTGGTTTGACATCCATTTTATTTAACAATTCTTTAGCCTCATTAAGCATTCCTGAACGCCCGTAGAGATCAATCATGCAGGCATAGTGTGGAGGACCAGGTTTTATTCCATAAACCTTATTCATTTGTTGGAAGTACATGCGACCATCGTTTACAAGTCCAGCATGGCTACAAGCAAATAATAAACCAATAAATGTGATAAAATCTGGTTTTGTGCCACTTGAAATCATTGCATTATAAAACATCAAAGAGTCCATTCCTTTACCGTTTTGTGCATAACCAACAATAAGAGCTGTCCAAGTAACTACATCCCGTGTTTGCATAGAGTCAAATATGCAATTGGCATCATCTAAGCATCCACATTTTGCGTACAAGGCCACAAGTGAGTTTTCTACCGACAGTGATGATTGAAGGCCAGATTTAATAAAATCTGAATGCACTTGTTTCCCAAATTCTAGAACAGTCAGTTCTGCACAGGCACTCAGAACACTAGCAACAACAAACTGGTCAGGTTTTATTCCAACAATTCTCATGTCAGAAAACATCTTCAGGGATTCTTCATGGGATCCATTGTGCGCATAACCAGTCACAAGGGAAGTCCATGAGACAACGTCCTTCTCCTGCATTTGATTGAACACCACATATGCACAATTCAAGTCTCCAATTTTGGCATACATGTCAACAAGGGCATTGCCAACAAGCTGATAATTCTCAAATCCGCACTTGATTGCCAAACAGTGAACAGACTTTGCATCTATACTGCCCATTATGCAACAATTTAGGACAGATGGAAATGTATAATTATCAATCTTCATATTTCTCGCATGCATTTTTTTGAACAAAAGGAGAGCTTCATCTTCAAACCCATGCCTCGCACACCCAACTATCATGGAGTTCCATGAAACAACATCATCAACCTCCATAGCTTCCAATACTTTTTTAGCACTGTTCAGGTCTCCGCATTTTGCATACATATTAACCAGTGAACGCTTTGAACATATATGTTGGTCCCAAAACCACTCTGAACAATGCAACCATGCACCTGTTCCCCAAAACATTGAGATGAAACAGCAGAACATGCTGTCAATATGCTTGGAAATGTAAAATGATTCAATTCAACCCCTTCTTTGTGCATATCACGGAAAAACTCAATTGCCTTGTGACCATCCCCATTATGAGCATAACCACTAAGCATAGATGTCCAAAGAACATGATTTTCTCTACTGTTAGGCAAGAACTTGAAGAGATATTCTGCTTCTGATATGCGCTTGCACTTGGCATACACATCAACAAGGCTAGTCAAAACATATACATTAGATTCTAATCCAGACTTTAACACATACCCATGGATCAATTCCCCACTTTGGATCAGCCCTAACATTGAACATACCCTTAGTATACTTGCTAAAGTGTATTGGCTGGGGTTTTGACCCTCCAACCTCATTTGCTGAAACAAATCAAAAACTTCATATCCATACCCATATTGACAATATCCAGAAATAAGGCATGACCAAGTGATAGAACTTTTACAAGGAATATCGTCAAAAACCTTTCTTGCTTCAGCTAGCCTTCCTGAACTAAAATAAGCAGCTATCATAGTATTCCAAGTGTACTCATCCCGTTCTGGCAGACTATCAAACACTATCCGGGCTTCATCAATTTGGCCAGATTTTGAGAGCTCCTTTAGAAACTGATTTGAACGGAACAAAGTTTGACAAGAATTCGCGATGGTTTGAACACAACGAGCAAATTGCATCAATTTGAGCTGGTTGCATGCGTGGTTTGGAAAACTCAGAAATTTTGAATTTAATATATACATAACCACTTCTCCGTGCCCCTTTATTGCGTAAAATGACGTCCAACTTCAGTAAATCAGCGAAAGATCACACATTTTACATAGAATATGATAGTAAATTTAACATCAAAATCCTCACACTCAATAGCAGAAACAAAGATATGAACAGAATTACAAAAATAATAGCCGGTCATTCACAATGAGATACATAATCCACTAACCATCATAATAATCATAATATTCCTATTAGAAATTGATGGGCACTAGTAATAAACAAAACTTCGGACCACGAAATCACACAAACAGATAGGCACTTTGCCTGCTTCTCAGAATGTGCATCGTTAAAGCAAATTATTTTGCCTGCTTTATCGGAATGTGTATCATAAAGCAAACGACTCTCTTCAGCAGCATAAAAAAGGGAACTTGATATAAAACCAAAAAGTTATTTGGGGATGATTACGAACAAGAAGAAACCAACCAACAGAGATTTTCAAAGTGCCCAGTTTATATTAGAAAAAGAGAAGTGAACAGAACATCCATAGCACAGGCCCAATAAGCAGAATGACAAGCTTGATGCTTACACTGAATCGACGGAGATCCACGGCTCTGCAAAGGTCAAACTCGCCGGAGACAGAGCAGCAGAGGCTAGAGCGGCGCGTCCGTGAACAGGCAAGCGGAGGATGAAGCGAAAGTGTCGTAGGCCTGTCTTGCCCGGCCCGAGGAGGCAAAAAAAAAAAAAAAAAGGGGCCTCAGCACATTCGCCCCTATTTCCCTAGCAATCATAATTACGATCATGCCATTGATAAAGCCCCGTGGGAGAAAATGGAGGTATGAAATGTGCTTAAGAAAATTGTTAAAAAAAAACCCTCATTATTAAATTGATTGTCTAAAGAAGATACTTAAGATTTATTTAAAGGTATAATATAGGTGTAACTTATTTTTAATGACCATGCCTTTTTCTGATTATATATGTAAAACATCAGCGAAAAATGGAAGATATTTGTATACTGATGAAAATATGCTACATACAGTCGAAAAAGACTTGCATGTAACATTAGACAATAAATTTTGTGACGAAATTTTTTTGGATAATTTTTCTAATATCTTGTGTTCTTAAATTTTAAAAAAATAATAATGAAAAGAAATTAGTACGAGGAGTGTAATGTTCTGCATGCTATTGATTTAAATGATCCGATTATGTTATACCATCACAAAATAGACCCTAACTGTATGTGCAAAAACAAAAGGCTCAATAATGGAGAAAGGGAAGAGTTCTTTCTTAATTCTTCTGGAGATACAAGAAACAGAGACAGAGAGAGATGGAATAAACAAAAACTGTGAAGTGTGAAACTTCACAAAGAAACCTCCACCATGAGAGGAAACAGTGTCCAAAAGGAATGCAGGATCACAAACAAAAGAGAAACCTTCACCTACCTCCATGAGACACTGAAAGAGGAAAACAAAAAACAAAAACAAAATTAGAAGCGAATTCACCTATATACGGCTTTGTCGAATGAACATTCTGCGATGCCGTGGATTTCGAGATTTGGTAACCTTACCTGCCTCCTACTCCATTCATTCCATTCTCATTCATATAAAACAAGAAACAAAAGTGGAAGCAGGGAAGGAGGAGAAAGCACTTGTAGAATTGAAGAGAGAGAAAGACGGAATAGCGATCAAGAGGGCTTTTTAACAGATATGCTTTGAACAGAAAAAATTATTGAGATGCCGCAGTAGTATGAAAAATATTTACTTAAATACCATACTTAAAATCCTTCACAACTTGAATGAGTTTAATTAATTTACATGAAAATCGATCTCACCAAGAACGACTTCCACACACATTGCCAGGCATCACATTTATTTTTTCAAGACACAGGAGGAAGAGTTTCCTTTATTCTTGGTCGTCTTTACCAGGAAATGTGTTTGTGGAAAAATCAAATTCGTGCAAAAATTAAATTTTTACATATAAATAATATATGAACAAACTAGGTAGGATTGAGTGCCAGTAACCTGAAACACTGATATGAGAGTCCCATGTGATTGCAACCTATGTTACCAGCTGCTGAAAATCGCAATTGTAGTCTCAAGAACACAATTATAATTCGTGCAAATCATCGTAATTGAAGTCTCTTAATAATGCAGTGAAATTATATATGACTATTTATTTCATGGTCTAAATTGTCTAGTAATAATTGAAATGGTTGTTCGCAGGTATCACTGTTTGGACAAAAAAACAGCGTACAGATCAAGGTCGAAACAATCCAGATATGATAACTGATGCTGGGACAACGTTGGCATTTTTTAAATCAAGCTTTTATTATGATGAGCAGGTTGAAGCTTAATTTGGCGAAATACGTAGCAATCAATAGTACAAAACTCTCCATTTAAATTGTGTTACAGAAAATACCTTTATCATCCAGATTATGTAACTTCCCAAACTTTGTACAAGTGAGTATTATGTTTCACGTTCTTTCTTCAAAGTCAAGCTCCTTCTTCGATAAAACAAACATGCGCACTTTCTTTCGCACATCCTTTTCCTTTATTGCTCCTTTTTTCTTTCGTTTTGTTTTTTCCTACCATTCTTCAAACGTATCTCTTAACTTTCACACTTGTTAATTTCCCCCATGCTCCTTCCCCATTCATTTACTCCTATTTTCTCTTTCTCTAATTCCCCTTCACATACGTTTATCGTAGCTAGTGTGATTGGCTTCTTTGCAAAGCAAATTATTTGCAGATCAACATGTATATAGTGACGGTTTTAGGCTTTAACAAGTTGAAGAAAGCCTTTGAACTTAGACTACAGCAAAACTCTCAATCAATAAAGAGAGAGGAAAAGTGATATTTTAGTATCAAATTTAAGAATAAAGAAGAAAATATAATGTTTCAACTTGTTAACTAGATTACGCGTATGATATATGTAATGCAGCCGAAAAAGGTTTGTAGCTTTATATTTTTATGAATTTCCGGAAATTTGAATTATGTTAGCTATTGAATAATGATCATTCAGTTGTTAGTGTTAACCATCTAGTTGGTTGGTGACCCTAAAATCTATAAAGATGGTTGAATTGAGGTTTTGTCTTCCTTAATTTTGTGCATCACCATTCATAACTTCAAGGGAGGAGTGATGAAAGGTTTGTTCTTTTTTTAATACAAAAATTCTTGGTGAGTTGGTTTTGGATGCTTATTAGTGCTAGGGCATATTTCCAGAATCAAGAAGTGCTTACAAAGATACTTATAGATCCGCCACTAACAAGGTCCTCACATTAGCAATGTGATTTGAATTCACGATCTTGTGAGTTATGAGCTAACTCTTTATTAAGTAGACCAATTCTTATTGGTGATAAAAAGTTTGTTCTAATTGTAATTTCATTTTGGATATCGCAATGACTTCAATCAGTAATTAATTCATATTTTCATTTCATTTTGTGTTTGTTAACATGAATAAAATAAAATTTTAGTAGAAGCAATATTGCTACAATTTTAAATTTTCGAGGCAGATGCCTAACACTTTTGAATAAAAACTTCAAAAAAAATTTGCATCTTAACCCAAATTTATTTTAATTGATGATGCGTCATTCAAGGCCAAAATAATGTTTATGAATAAGGAAAAAAACTGGTGAGCAAGGGAAATTAAACTCATCACTAGTCTTACAAAAAAGAAAATATATACTAATAATAATATGAATTAATACAATATATTGATTACTTAATGTAAAATTTTATATTCAATTAGATTCTCCCACATAGGCTTTATTTGGTTACACGGGATTATTTCTAATGGAAATGTGAACAATAAAAAAGAGAATGAGAATAAAAATATGAATGCAAATGAGTTTAATTTGATGGAACATGATAATTATATTTGCATATCATCCAAAATTAAAAATAAGTATTGCTCTCTAAGTTTATGTTTGATTGGATTATTGAAAATGATAATGACAATGACTTAGCTAGACCTGTATAACCCAAAGATAACGCAAACCTATTTTCTAGTTCTATGATGTGCCCATGGGATACGTTAATGCAAACTTTCTAACCCAAAAATCACGCAAAGCAAACTCCATTCTATTATAAAAGCTTATCCAGCTATTCCTATTTCTCTTGCGTTTCTCAAACATCCATTTTCTTTTCACACTCATCTATTCCCATTTATTACTTGGTTTGGTGGTGTTTCCTACTATTCTCCAGGAATTCTTTTCTACCCCATACTCCTTCCTCACTCATCGAACTGTTCCTATTTTCTTGGTTCTCAATTTCCTCTACTCGTTTTTCTCAGTTTCTCTCTGCCAATATTCGTCAAACATGTCTTTTGTTCACACTTCTTTTCCTTCATGTTCCTTCCTCGCTCATTTATTATTCCTGTTTAATTTCCTCAGCTCTTTCTATAACCCAACCACCTCCACAAGGAAACGTCCACAGCATGATTGGCTTTCTTCGTAGGAGAGACCAATAAATGTGAGTCTCTTCTCTCCATAGATATATGGAGCCGGGGTGTCAGCTGCCCCTTAATTTTAGGGCTCTTTTCAAATATTTTTTAGCTTATTTTTATCATTAGATTCTACATAAAATGAGTGACATTTTGATATTTTATTTGCAAAAAATAGTTTAGTTTTCAAATTTTTTGTCAATTTTTTTTAAAGATTTAATACTCTTAGTTAAAAAGAAAATTTGAGTATTAAATTTTTGAAAAATTGTAAAAAAAAATTGAAAACTAAATCATTTTTACAAATAATATATCAAAATATCACTCATTTTATATAGAATCTAATGGTAAAAAAAGTTCAAAAAATATCTATGAAAGAGCCCAAAATTATGGGGCAGCTGACACTCCCAACGCATGCAGAGAAGGAAAGAAACAGTGATATTTTAGTTTCAAATTTATAATTAAACAACAAAATCTCTTAGTTTGACATACAGATGATATGTGAACTAATATAATTTGGAGGCAAACTGGACTATTATATGGTATACATTTATGAGAGATAATATAGCAATATGAATCTATGCAGGCCATTACCGAGAAATCACGCAAATCCGTGTCCACTGTAGCCCTAAAATCAACCTAACTTTTCTATATACAGAACCTCAAGCCCCTTCTTTGCACATCAAATCTTCTCAGTGGCATATCCTTTGGGTTTTTCTAGCATTCTTCAAAATGCTGCCTCATTCACTCACTTTCACTCTTATTCTCTTTCTTTCCACCTTTTTCGTTAATGTCTCTGCAACAAATAATAAGCTCCCAAAAGGTTTCAGCATCGACCTCATTCATCGTGACTCGCCATTATCACCGTTCTTCAACTCCTCCATGACCCACTCGGAGCGAGCTCAGAACGTCGCGCCGCGCTCCCTATCCAGAGCTAATCGCTTTGGCGCTCCTCCATGACCCACTCGGAACGATGCAAGTTATCTCATAAAGATATCTGTTGGGACTCCACCTGTAGAGAGGTGGGCACTTGCAGACACCGGAAGCGACCTTATTTGGTTCCAGCGTTCGCCTTGTCCTCAGTGCTATCCTCAGAACGCGCCCTTCTTATGTGGCTCAGACCCTTGTAAAGCTCTGCCCCCAGTCAACGTGCAAGGCCAACTGTATCCTAAATGTGGAACATCAAATGAGTGTACGTATTTTTATTCGTATAGGGATAAGTCATACACCATGGGAGAACTGAGCGCAGAATCAGTTAGTTTCG